GGTGGTGGTGTTAGTTTTTAAAAATAGCACCAATTTACTATTTTAGTCTGTTTTAAATATAGTGCTGTGAAAGATGCCAGATTAATTGCTCCCAGACACTCCATGCATTTCCTACTGTTGCACAAAGTCTGTGCAAAGCTGGAATTTAAACCCAAACACACACATCAGCCCAGTGTCTTAACCTGGACCAACCACTTTACATCCTCACGAGAAGCAGGGACACACACCTTCCTCCTAGCGTTACCTCAAGCAGCCAGGCACTCCTGTCAAGGAAAGGAACTGCTATGATCTATTTACTGCCTGGCTCTCCTGATAAAAGTATCAGTTCCTATCACCTGATAAAAGTATCAGTTCCTATCATTTGTGGTTCTGTATTTTGTGATCAGAGGAAAAAGTTGACAGATGGACACCGATTTCATGCAAGCCAATAGTTTTTGGTCAAAGAACAGGCTTGTATTTAATTTGGCAGCTTACGAAGCAAAAGACTCTGGAAACTACTTATTTTCCCTTGGGAAAAGTCCCTACACATGAACTCTGTGAATACCCCACAGTGAGGGTTGGTTAGTTATTCCGCTTAACGATGATTAACCCTGATACTGTAACACAGGGAAACGAGTGTCTTAATGGGAACATCCCTTCTTACTGTACCCTCTGAACCAGGGAAGATCATTTACAATTCCTTACAAGGTCAAAAAAATTTGCTGTGGTTTAAACCAATCCACAAATAATTTTATAGAGATGAACAAACTCTGCAGAAGCAAATACTTCTCAAGTGGTTTATAGCAACAAAGACACCAGCCTAAGACCCAGGTCCCTGTACAGACTCCCAGGCACTGCTCAGTTTCCCCACCCCGAGCTGGGCTCTGGGTCAGGTTCCCATAACAAACATATTCATAGCAGAGCAGACTTCAGGTGTAACGCTTTCCCAAACCCTTCTGCTCCAGTAAATGCTCTGCTCCTAAAAATGCTTGCAGATGAGTAAGCTTGGTCATACTCAAGCAAATCTGCACTTCCTCTGGGAGCCCAGGATGGAGGAGCAGGCTCCAAAGCATGTCCAAGCATCCCTTGTAACCCATCTCTGGATCCAGTTTGACAATACCCCTGGGCACCTCCACAGGTGCTGTGCTTACCATCTGGGAACGACAGGACAGGATGAATACACGAGTCCAGTTGGGAGAGGCGCTCCAGCAAAGGGGCATCATACTGGATTTCCAGAGTCGTCGAGCTTCGAGTGCCACACAGAGCACATGAAGGATTCACATCACAGCTACATCGCACCAGGCTATTACGATGGACCTGGAAAGGGGAGAGAGAATAGCGTCAACATATCGGAGGTCAATGTCTAAGGGCTCTTTTCACACACTCCCCTTTGACAGCTCATGAAAAAACATCCTAAAGGCTGGTATTTTTAATACCTTGTATAAGACCTCTTCATTTAGTCTTGACTCATAAAAGGACACTTTCACTTTGCATAAACACAACTGAAAACTACTACTCATGAGCACAGGCAGTTTAACATCTATTAAATTTGGCTAAAAGTATTTAATTTTATCTAGGCTGAAACCTCATTTATAAAAACCATGAGACAGCACAAGCCTTTCTGAGATCAGATGGGTCAGAGAGCCATCACTATATGCCAAGAGCTGACACTTACAGGGACATCTTTACAGAGTGAAAAAGGGTGGTTTTCAACCTTGTTTCCTAAACCAGGACAGACTTTCAATTCACAGATTTATAGACTTTATATAGACTTCATTTGTATGAAACCACTGCAGGCAGATGCACAATTGGATGTAAATCCCATACAGAGACAGCAACCTACGATTCCCCGTCAAAATGGAAGGACGTATCAAACCGGATCCTGCAGAAGTCTGTTCTGAGCCTAGTATTATTCAAATAATTTCCATTAACGACTTGAATGATGGAAGAGATAATACCCTTCAGCCTTAGCAAATAACACTAGACCTGGAAAGGGCTGCAAGCTCCTTGAAGGAAAGAGGTAGAATCCCACTCATGGTTACAAATTAAGAGAAACGATCTAAAATAAATCAAATATAATTCACTGAGGGCAAATGCAACAAGTGGATGCTTCAGTGACCAGTGAAGAGGAGAAAGAGGTAACTGAGCAGCAGTTCTGCCCAGAGGATCTGGTGGGTGTTATGGATCAGAAAATGAGCATGAATCAGCAGTGTCGTACCATTACTGAGAATTAACACCCCATGGGGCTTTATAAACAGGACGGCTGTGCAAGATGCATGAGGTAATCCTGCTGCTCTGCTCGGCATTGCTAATGTGAGCTGGAGGACTGCACCCAGTTTTGGGCACATATTTCAAGAAATGTGTGCATCAAGCGGAGAGGAAAGCAACAAAAAAAATTGTAAGATCCAAAAAATATACATCCTATGTGCAAAACCAGAAAGACACGTGGTGTGTTTAGTGTAGAGGTGACCGCATTAAGAATTACTACATCAACTTTCACACTTCAGGGGAGCTGACCAGTTTACACCAGGACCTGGACTACTGGTAATGACTTCAAAGCCAAGGCAGCTTGTATTAGAAAGTTTGGTTGGTTTGGTTTTGCTGTCTGAAAAACAAGACTAGCTAAGCACTCAGATAGCTTGCCTACGGCAGTTCAGACAAACCATCTGGTACGGTAGGAGCATAAAGCAGTCGGCTGTGGGGCATGGCAATGCTGTGGCTGACTGCAGGAGCTCCCTTCCCATCCTGTTGCACAAGCCCAGTCCTGTTTGCAACCCAATGCAGGCTACAGACCCACTCAACCTTTAAGCCTCTCTTCTTTCCTACAGGATGTCTCCTGACTTAAAAATCTCAAGTGATGTTGTATTCAGATTTTGTAAAACACTAGGCACAGTTATGGATGATCTCTACTGAAACAGTGAACTCTCCGGTTGTAATTTCTGGTCACAGCAATCCACAATGACTTGGTGCTAGACGGGAGAGCACGGTCAACTGGACATGGTACTTCTGGACCATGACCTAGCCACCACTCAGCGTTCTCTCAAATAACTGAAGGAGTCCACAGAAATCATCTGCTATCTGTCACATCTTCTACCCTTTGGAACTGCTCTTCTGAACCATCTCTGATTATCAAATGTATTTGATGAATATAGGCAAAAATTAACACAGAATTAACAGATGCTTCTTCAAACACTGAGTGCACAAGTCAGCATCACCTACGGGATAGTTTATAAACTTCCAAATCACTGAAGATCTTGCAAGCAATCACTGCAGAGCTCTACCAGAAATACCCCAGATAAAACTGCAAACAAGTAATCAGTTATAGCTAACTCAGCTGAGCGAGCATCTATTTTGCTCAGAAAAATGTTGCTTCTTGAGCTTCTCTTTAAAACTCTAGCCCCCGCAGAGTGAAAACCCCTGAACCCTTGTGATAAAGTTTGACTTCAAACACTTTGACTCAAAGGTAAGTGGATTTTTGCCATCTATGGTTCTGGAATCATGAGAGCTGCATACACAAAAAAATCCTTATTCCCTCAAAATATCCTCCAACTGACAGTTTACGGCAT